GCAGGGCTGCCCACCGCCGCTCCTCCGCTGCTGCGCTCTGTGCCCGGCCATGATGCTAAAAGGGCAACATTCGCTCCCTTCACCCCGGCTGAAGTGCTCAGGAGCTGCAGGGAGTGAGTTTCCCTGCCGAGGGAGAGTAGTTAATAGCTGTGCCCTCAGAGGCAGGAGCACTGACTGGGGACCAGCCTTTAACCCCTTGCTTTCTGCCATGGAAAGGGGACCGTGCTCCTCTGCTGCCCTGCAAGATGAAGGTGACTGCCAGTGAGACTTTGCCTCCATCAGTGCTTACAAGGCCTTTCCAAAGCTGCTGACTGGCCAGTGCTGGGGAAATGTTCCCTGGGTTTCCCCGTGCCTGATGCTGTGTGTGGCTGCTCAGGGCCGGGATCCCCGTGGTGGCTGTCTCCGAGTGCCTGGCCTACATTTGTGTCTGTTTTCTTTGGCATCCTCCAGCATTTCCCTTGGAAGGAATGGCCAATAACACAGTTCCTACTCAGACATTGCCCTCTGACAGACAGCTCCCATAAAGATCATCATTCTCGTTCTTGGGAGCCTCGTGCTGTTCCACTGCCTCTTTCAGGCTGTTCTCCTCTGGGGACAGGGTCACAAAACCCACAAAGTACACAGAGATTTGCAATTAGATCTGCTCTCTAATTCTTTTTCCCCTAATCTGAAAAATGTGACAAGTAAACTGCAGGTTTTGTAGAAATTGTCCAAGAAAATTCAGAAGAGGTTTGTGCTTCCCTTTGACCCCAAATCCGCCGGCTTTGAAAGAAATATTTAGATGAAGCTCCTCCAAAAGTTTACAGAAGAGAGTAGCTATTTCTTGTAAAAATAAATGCATGAAAAGCCCTAAGAATTTCTCTTGAAAACTAATTTTAGTGGGAATTTCTCAGGTAGTTTCAGGGAGCTGTGGAGCTCAGCATACCCTCTGGTACCGGAGCCTGGTTTCACAGGCCTGGGGACCTGAGAGCTCCCTACAGCAAAACCAGAGGACAAGTTGAAAAAGAAATTAAAATAAAAATCCATTCTGGAGCTCCCTACAGCAAAACCAGAGGACAAGTTGAAAAAGAAATTAAAATAAAAATCCATTCTGTTTGTTTTTTTTTTTCAGTGATATTGATCCTTCTTTCCATATTAAAAATTAAAATTAAAAATAAAAATAGAAGTGGGAGTTACGTATCTGTGCACAGTTCTGAGTGAGAATTAAGCACCATAGATGGGTGCCTCGCTCAGCCCCTGAGGGGATCTGTGTCACTGTGCCAGCTTAACACAAGAGAAAAAGGGATTTGCCTGGGTCAGACTGAAGGCAGCAGGGTCCTTGCAGGGAGAGAGGCTGTGCCACAGGGAAAGAGGAAACATCCAGAAAGGGGACACAGGGGAGCTGCTCCAACAGGAGCTCACCTAGCACTGGTGTATGGCTGGGGTGCAGCTGCTCATTCCACTCAATTAATGCTCTCATTTCCCTACTCTCAGCAAGGGGCAGTGGTGTAGAGCCCCCTTGGGAAAGGGCTGTGCCCAGCACATGTGCTGGCTCTGCAGCAATGCTCTCAAGATGGGCTTGGGGTCTGGCTGCCAGATCCAGCTCCTTGACACGTTACAGAGAAGAAAAGGCAATGATCTCCACTTCCCTAAGGACAATCCTTCCAAAGTGACTGGAAAGTCACCAGCTCTAGCCTGATGGCATAAATCACTTTTAGGTGAGCCTTCAGGTACGTCCTGTGACTCCACTTAGGGCTCTGTTTGCCAAAAGGGAATCATTCCATCTCCTCAGAGATACCACATAACCTCCCACAGCTGTCTGGGCAATCCTCCTACAGGGAAACACAAGATGCTTGTGAACCAGCTCCTGAGCTGCAGGAGTTTACAGGCCTGAGCTTTAAAGAAAGCAAAAGCAGAAATGGTCTTTGGAAAGCTCTGTGTGCATTCTGGCAGCTCAAGGAAAGCGTCACAGCAGCCCACAAACAGCGGTTCACTGCGACAGCATCGACCCCAAGCAAAGCCATCCTCCAGCATCCATCCAAATGCCTGAAGTCTGAATCCAAAGTCTCTGAAGACTCCTGGTTTGTTTGAGCCTCTCCTTACTGGAAACATCAGACTTCCATTCCCAGCTGCTGGACTAGGCAGACCCCTGAGGGCCAAATCCATCTGTGGATGGATTCCCTGCATCACTAGGAGCCACGGAACTGGTGAAGGGGCTGGAGCACCAAGGTGATGAGGAGTGGCTGAGGGAGCTGGGGGTGTTCAGCCTGGACAGGAGGAGGCTCAGGAGGGACCTTATTGCTCCCTACAGCTGCCTGAGAGGAGGCTGTAAGGGGTGGGTGTTTGGGGGCTGCCCATCACAAACCTCAAGCCATCCAGATTCAAGTTCAGTGTCCAACTTCTGTCATCCCTTATCCTTTCAGAGATCCTTCTGGATCTGCCTGGACTGACAGAACTTTGAATCTGGAGTCACAGCTTTTCAGTTGTGCAGGTTGCCCCATCCAGTTGCTCTGCAGAGGACAGCAGGAGCTGCCTGTGTCCTCATGTCCCATATGGGAACATGCCATCACACTCCTCCATCTGAGACAAGTCCACCTCAGAGCTGTTTGTTTTCTCTGCCTGATCAGCTGGGATACAGAGCTCAGGACATTGCAGCTCTGCCCCATTTCACCCTCCAGGTAGAGGAACACAAGAAGGAGGTGTTTTTGTTCTACCAGAGCTCCTGATTTGCTTTCTTTTTTCAGGCTCCTGGTACCAGTCACTCACATAAGAGCAGCTCTGCCCTGTTTGTACAGTGCCCTTGTTCTCAGGCCTTAACTCATCCTTACACAGCCACCAACCATCAATGCTCAGCCTCGTGGTGCTGCAAGGAGGGGCTGATCCCTCAGGAATGGGGAAACAGCAACGAGAGGGCTCAAATTGCCAGCCCTGCAGCATTTGGTACCAACTCCTCTCTGTTTCAGCAGGAGCACACGTTCTGAGGCCATCTCAGGGGAGCAGCCCCTCAAGACAGGTTTCTAAAATGTGTTCTCAGGGCATGAGGACATGTTCTCATGACCTTTTGCTGCCTCCTTTCCTCAAGGTGCCTCTATTCTGCCACTGCCACTGTAATGTTTAAATCCCAAACACCTCCACACAGCCCTGGAGTATTTACCACTTCTTCAGACTTCCACCTCCTTGCAGTATCTTTTACCTTCCACAGCAAGCAGTACAGGCTTTGCAAAGGAGCTGTGTAACCACGGGAATGTCACTGTCACAAACTGTAAGAATTAAATGCTTTCAGCTATCATATTAAAAAAAGCCCTTTCCTACCCCAAGCAAGCCCCTTTTGAGGGATCACCAACAGCTCAAAACAGACACAGCCTTTCCTGCCACTTTTTCATGTCTTTGTGACATCAGGGTGACCCACTGGACACTGAAGTGTTGTTTTCCTTTCTTTTTAAGAAAAAAGAGCACAGTTTATTGCAAATACACCTAAATCTCTTGTAATTGTTGCCTTTGCTGTGGTTTATTACCAGCTTGTGATGCCCTGGGTGAATGGAAAACTATCATAGACTTTTTATTTTTTGGGTTTGGGTTTTTTGGGCATTTTTGGTTTGGTTTTTTGCTTTGTGTGTGTGTTTTTTAATCACTTGGGTCAAGAGAGCAACAGGTGAACTCACTTAACAATGGATGGCCAAAAGCAGCCCAAGTACCTACACCTTGCCATTAGGTTAAGGGCAGACAGATGTTTTGGCTTTTGTAACCAGCTGTTTCTTTCCACTGCCAAAAAAAACTGCCTGAATGACTAATTAAGGTTAAGTGTGATGGATCCCCCCCTTGTCTCATTGCATTTCAATGAGATATTTTGAAGAAACGCTGTCCTTGGTTTCAGAAACAAACCCCTGGACTATTTTGTCTGCTTTAGCATTTTTGTGTAAGACAGAAGCCAGCAAAAATCGTTCAGAGGAGGAATAAAGCCCAGCCACTGACAGTCATAGAATTATAGAATTGTTTATGTTGGAAAAGACCTTTAGGATCACCAAGGCCAGTCACTAATCTAATACTGCCAAGGCCACCACTAATCCATGTGTCTAAGCACCACATCTGCATGTTTTTTGAAGCTTTCTCCAGGTCCTTTTCCCACCAGGCAGCCTTCCAGACTCTCTTCCCCAAGTGTGCAGTGCTTCATGGAGTTGTTGTGACCCAGGACCCAGCTCTTCACCTTGTCCAACCAAGAGGCCTCAGTCCCTTGATGCAGCCCCTCAGATCCCTCTGCAGAGCCTTTCTACCCCCCAGCAGGTCCCACCCAGCTGGGTGTTCCCTGCAGACTGAGGGTGCCCCCCATGCTCTGGTCCAGACCACTGGTAATGTTATGAAACACAACACCCAACCCAAAGAGAAGATCTGTCTCTAATCCCCTGTAAGTTTGAGTCTTATCCTTGTCCTGAAGGAAGAGAATTTAATATTCCTTGCAAAATCCCTGGCTTTTGGATAATCTATGTCATTGTTACTCTGGACAAGCTTGTTTTTCACAAAAATACCCATTATTTTTTTAACCTTGCTGAGCTCCTGATCACAAATCTCGATCTTGTGCCTATTAATACCACGAGGCAGCTGCGAGGGGAAGCTGGGTGCTGCCAACACGTTTAAAGGATGCAACTTTGACCCTTTCCCAGGCTTTCTAGGTGACCCCCAGGGAGAAGACAGCACCCCATGGGAGCCAGAGATGTCTGTGGGTTTAGCAATGCAGGTGGTTCCTCCTGTCTCCCCAGGGCATGAACCCTCACCTGCGGATCAACGGGCCCATGAACATCAACCACTACGCCACCAAGAAGAGCGTGGCCGAGAGCATGCTGGACGTGGCGCTCTTCATGGCCAACGTCACCCAGCTCAAAGCTGTGCTGGAGCAGGGCACGTCCTTCCAGTACTATGCCACCCTCATCGTGCTCATCAGCATCTCCCTCTTCTTCCAGGTGATGATTGGCATTCTCCTCATCGTCACGGGTAAGGCGTGTGTGCCCCGGCAGGGTGCTGCAGGGACAGGGTGCTGTGCTGCAGGGACAGGGTGCTGCAGGGACAGGGTGCTGCAGGGACAGGGTGCTGCAGGGACAGGGTGCTGTGCTGCAGGGACAGGGTGCTGTGCTGCAGGGACAGGGTGCTGTGCTGCAGGGACAGGGTGCTGCAGGGACAGGGTGCTGTAGGGACAGGGTGCTGCAGGGACAGGGTGGCTGGCCGCTGTGGGGTGGAAGGGAGGAGCCTCTTCCCCCAAACCTTTCCCCTCTGGCTCCATGCAGGGCTGGATGTGGGTGGTAGGGAGGAGGTTGGTGTCAGTGGGAATGGTAGGTGAGTTGTTTTTGGTTTGCACATCTCTGAGCACAGCTCTTCCTTCACTTTCCCACTGCTGGCCCCTGTGGAAGAGTGGGGATTTGGGCAGGGTGGGCCCCTTGCTGCCCCCCTGCTCCCTCATGCAGCTCTTGCAGACACCACCTTTCAGCTCTATTTTGTATCCTGTTCCATCTGGGACTAAACAGAACAATTTAGGCACAGAATTCCCTGTTTTAACCTCACATTTAACCAATCCCAGTTTTTCTACTGGCCCACAGACAGTACATTAACACCAGCATTGGTTTGCTGGTGCCTGCCCAGTGCTCCATCTGGTACAGGAGTTGCTGGATTTCAGTCTCCAGCAGATTCCCAATATTAAAAACCTGCAAAGTGCTGCATTTTCCTGTATATCCTACAGAACATAGAGGGTTTCTACGGGGGGCAGAGGATTGGAGGCTCTGGGAAATACACGATGCATTCCTTCCCCTGTCACACACACCACAGCTTTTCCTGGTGCCAGCTGTGATGGCTGGAGCCAGCGGGGACAAGGGACCACAAGGTGGCTGCTGTTTGCATGGCTTATTGGCCAGAGGGCCCTGGTAGCCAGGTCTTGCTGTGTCTGAAGGGACCATCAGCCAGGACTGACCCCATTCACGTAGCCAGGGCTGAGAGCTGTGTCACCACAGAGGTGGCAGCTGGCTGCTGGGGAGGAACTGGCTGTGCAAGCAGAGCACTGCAGCCCTTGTTCCCCGTGTCCCACAGCCTGTCCCCACCACACCCCATGGCCATGCAGTGCTGGGGCCACCGTGGCACGTGTCTGGCCAGTGTGCAGAGTAATTGCCTGCTTAGGGCTGACCCACTGCAGGGCCATGGCATCTTCATGGCAAAACAAAACATTTTGCCCAAAAATCAAAACAAGGTGAGTTTTTCTCTGCTGCAGCCCTCTGTGTCATCCTAGAGCAAGCTCCTGTAGGACTCCTCTGACTACCCCCTCTGCTCTGTGGCCTCAGCACTCAGGGGCACCACAAACATTCAGCAGGCAGGGGAGGCTTGCAGGAGCTGGGGGACTCAGAGTCAGTCTGCAAGCCCCCTCCTCTTTTTGTGTTGCACAGCTCGTCTGAACCTGAACGACATCGCCAAGCAACCCCGCCTGAACATCCTCAACAACGCTGCCACAGCTCTCATCTTCATCACAGTCATCCTCAACATCTTCATCACAGCCTTCGGCGTGCAGAAGACTGGCCTCTACCCTAACAGGAATTTTGGACCTTATTAATTCATGGGGCAGTGGATTCAGGTAAGAAAGGGTGAGTTCCCATCACTGCCAGCCCCTGGGAGGGCTCTCAGGCTCAGAAAACATCCCAGCAAGGCAGAGAAAGCACAAATTAACAAAGCCTTTCCAGAGGCACGCTGCTGTCCCACAAAAACCTGCAGCCACTGAACAAATTCCCTCAGAGGAGGAGGAGTTCCCCTCACTTGGTCCCTAAAGCAAGAACAGCAAACATCCCAGCTGCTGGGATTTCCCAGCGGTTTTTGGAAGGCTGCAGGGCTCGTGCTGGATACGAGCAGCAGCTGTGGGTGGGAGTTCAGAGCTAGCTGTGCTCTGGGAGGAAGCCCAAGCAGAAGGAAAGGAAGGTGCTGGGCAAGGCAGGGGGGGAAGAGCTCTTTACAACAGCACCTGTAGCTGGGCAGGGACTCTTTTAAGCACCTAATGCTCATTTTCAAGGAAGCCCTGTAAGTGCTCATCCAAATGGTTGGATGTCACCTCAGCAAGGGAATGACATGTTCTTAAATCTTAAATCTTGAAAAGCACTTCAGCTCAAGAAGCAAAATTCACATTTCTTGCTTATAACCTGCAAAATATAAACACAGTTTAAATGCAACATACCAGGGCAACAGCCAACAAGAGAGCTCAACAGACACAGGCTGTGGTGAGGATGGATGCAAAGGCCAAAAGCCTCTACAGAAACACGGCTGCTTTGGGATAGAGAGGGGCAAGGGCTGAAGAGCAGCACCCCAGACATGTGGGGCAGTGGTGCTGTGGGGCAGAGGCTGTGCCTGCTCCTCTCTGACCTGACCTTACCAGCGTTTCTTGTGTTCCCTGCAGGGTCTGAGCAGTGCAGCTCTCCTCCACTGACCTCAGCAGGAGCCCATGGACCAATGCAGAGATCTGGGTTCAATTCAAACCTCTGTGTGTGTCACAGCACACCAGCCCCTTACTGCAATGCTTCTGCAGCTCTGGGGGCTGGGAGCGCTGCCTTTCCCAGCTACAGCAAACTTTGCAAGAGAGAACTGCAGGAACAGCAGCAGGTGTACCTTGTAAAAGTGCAGTTCTGTAAATCTCTCCTTATTTTAGCTGCCTGCTTCACATATTCAATATTGGCTCATTTGCTAGAGAAAACTGAATTATTTACTTTGTAGGCTAAAGAAATAAACCCAGTCTTTTTTTTTTTTTTTGGTCTCAAATATAAGTTGATGCCCTTAAAGCAATTCTATCTAATAGTTTACCTCCCAAATGTTGGAATGGATTTCTCAAACTGAAAAAGAAGTTTTCCTAGGAGGACAGAATGGTGTGTGCACATGAAGATAACTAAAACCAGTTCAAATGTTTTCCTAGTCCTTTAAAATTAAATGTGACATAGTCAAGAAAACAATCAGGTATTTTCAGCACTGGAATATTAACAAGGACAGAAAATAGTTATTGTGGTCTGATGTCATCATCAGGGACCTATCAGGAATGATGTCAGAATAGGCTGACAATATTTAGTAGAAAATGAGGAAACATTATACATAAGGACACAGCCTAGGCTTATTGCCAAAAAGAAAAATTACAGTTGAATAGCTTATTACTTTATTAAAAAAAAAAAAAAATCACCATTATGATTTATTCTTATCACTAACATAAATGTTTTAAAATGTATTTGGTTTATAATGACAGCTCTGGTAATTCTCTTATATTAGAATAATTTGTTTCCTTAAAAAAAAAATCCCTTGAATTAATGAGCTTCAAGATTTTTATGGAAGAGCAAAAATTTTCCATCCTAAATTTTTTAACTCTACAGTCATGCTAAAAAATGGTATTTTAATAGCCTCATGTAAGCCTATTTAAATAATTCCATTCTCTTTTGATTATTAAATGATTTTTCCATTATACTGCAGAATCAGAGTTTAATATGGACTTCTCATTTTGTACATCCTCGCCATCCCTGGGAGAGAAATGCCACAAAAGCATCCTCACACCAGTCTTCAGGAGCTGCTGGGAGTGCCTGACATTTAGAAACAGATAGAGATTTCATTTGTACTCTGTATTTGACTTTCCAAACCCAAGTTTGTGTCAGTCACACACACGTGGTGCTTTTCCTGGGAGGCTGTGAATGGTCTCGCCCACGAAGGCGCTGGGTAAGGCCAGGGGCCAGCAGCACCTGACACTGAGAGACTCCTCTGAGCTGAAGCAAAGTTGCATAAAAAGGGGAGGGTGGAAAATACCAGTTATGTATCTACCAGAAGCTGAAGTGGCAAAGCTGAGCAGAGTCTGAGATCGGTTTGGGGAAGCAGGCAGAGACTTGTCCTCCACCTCTTCTCGGGGTGGCAGCTCTGGGGTGGCTCGGGGCTTGCTGCTTGCCTTGGTGCTCAGTCTCTGCTCTGACTGGCAGCCAAGGGCTGGATGTTTCTGGGAAGCCTGTTATCCCAGCCCCTCCAGACAAATGCTGTGCTCCAGAGGTGGCAGAATGAGGTGTAGGCACAGCAAAACCACAAGCCAAGAGCTGCCAGCCACTGCTGGCTAGCTGGGTTCATGGAAAGGCAAAAAATTATATATCCTGTGTGCAGACCCCAAACCCTAGGAGTCATTGCTTCACCAAGCAGGAGGCAAAGCAATTAGCATTGATGACTGAATGTAACAAGAGGGAAAAATAGGGAAGATTCAGCTGGGAAAGAAGCAGTGAGGGGAATTTCATTACCAGACCTTCACTTTGTTTCAGGGAGCTGCTGGATGGGTATGGCAGCATGTGAGGCCTGCAGGGCAGAGGGGGCTTCCTGCCACTCATCCCAGGCTAGCAAAAGACTAGCAGCACACTGGAATACTTTCCCTCCATCTCCTTTAATATTAGTAATTTCTTGTCATAGTGAAATCACACTGTTTAGCAACCCTGGCTGCCTTTTCCCCTCGCTGTGTGTGACTCCCATTGCCACCAAGCTTTTGATACTCAAGGGTGGCACAGCTGAAGTGAAAAGGGGCCAAAACTGAATTGAAATAAGAACTACTGTGAAAGAGCTGACCTCCCACAGCACAGGCTGTGCCAAGTCCAGCTTTAGGCTCCCACCTGTGGTGTCCAGGAGCTGTGTTTGCCAGGAGAACCACTGTGTTCTCCACATTCTCTCATCACATCACACCCACGCTTTGCTGCAATGTCTATTTGTCCACTGTTTCCACCTTGTTTCACCATGTTTTCAAACATAAGCCCATGTTTTGTTGCCATCCCATTTCCCATGGACTGAAGCCAGGCTCTCTGCTGGCCAGCCCTGCCCACTGCTGGCTGCGGCAGAGAGCCATCCCTCTCTGGGGTACTGCCTGTGCCTTCAGCTCGTGAGCACACCTGGATTCTGATCCCTGCTGCACACACAGGTGGGTGCAAGTGAACACACAGACACACCAGAGCTCTTGTAGGAAGACAATGTATTTATAAAACACGAGGGAGAATCTGTATATCCCCCAGCTCCAACAGAGAGGTGGCCCAGGAGTCGTCTGGAAGGCACAGAGCCACTTTAAGGCAGGTAACTCAAAGGTACAACTCAGATTTTCAACACAAGGCATCTGTATCTAAGAAACAATCAACTTCAGATATTTGTAGGCAATGAGGAGAGATGTTCATGCCAGGCAAACATCAAGACAATGATGAAACAAATCATAATTTTCACACAATACACTTTGCTCAGATGAAAAGCCAGCCCTTCTTCATTCCTTTGCTGACCTGCAAAGCAAGCCTGAGCACCACACTTCAGTGCTGAAGACACAGTCACATTCCTAGGCAGAGCCCCCTTGCCCTGCACCTCACACCTGGTGGCCTGGACTCCCCAGCCTGGCCACGTCCCACCCTGGAGAAGGTCTCTCTGCACATTGTCCATCGTGTCCCCACCACAGTGCTTCTGGAGCAGCTTGCTCCTGGCCTGGGGCAAGTAAAATCCCAAGCCACTGACTTCCTCCAGCTGTCCAGCCAGGACACAGCCAGGATGCACATGAGGGCCAGAACCTCCAGCACAGCTTCCTAAAAAGATCCTGGTGACAGAAATGTGAGCAGCTGTTGAGGGGAGTCAGCTTCCTGGCTGTGCTCTTTCACTGCACGGCTGGGGGACCTGTCCCTGCTGCGCTTCCTGCTCTCCCCCTCTGTGTGACTCTGGCTGGGGAGAAAATCTGCAGCCTCAGAGCAAAGCCCAGCACTGCTGCTGCAAGGTCTGCTGCTGGGGAGTGAGGAGGTTTTACTGCTGGCCAGTAAGCTGGGGGGTGTGGAGCCCCTTCCCTCCCTCCTTACACCTGCAGGGACCCCTCTGAGCACCAGGAGAGTTTTTGTCCCTGTGGGCTCTCCAAGCTCCTCCACAGAGGCTGCCAGTTAGTGCCAATGAGTGTTAATCACGTTTGCTACTGCAATGCTTGGATGCCAACTGAGAATTCCCTCTGAAAGGGAAGAACATTTGAGATGGCAGCTCTGACAGCAGGGAAACTGGCCATTAGGAAACTGGACTGAGAACTCCTTACATCTCCACCAACTCACGAGGTAGTTCTGCTTTCACTGGCCTGGGGTACAAGGTGTGAAGGAAGGAGTGCAGTCACAGCTGAAAAACGGGGCAGAATCCCCAAATTCTGCTGGCAGTGCTGCGCTGAGGGTGCACCCGACTGTGCTGTGCTCTGGGGTGGGGAAGGCTCACGGTGTTTGTGCCAAGTGAGTTAGCTCCTGGATGCACCCAGCTCTTGCCAGTGCCTGCAGAGGGATGCCAGCTGCTGACTTCAGGTCACATCCACGGCCAGATGTGAAAGGACACGGTACAAAGAACTGCTCCCTGTGCCTGACATGGGAAGCCAGCAGTGAGTGCTCCATCTGCAGAGCGGGCAGCAGGCTGTGCCAGCGTGGTGAGCTCCAGCTGCTCCTGCAGCCTCTCCTGTTCCACAGGCACTGCGTGGCACGGCCAGCCTGGCCAGGCCAGTCCTGGAGCCTGGAAAGGAGCTCACCTGCACACTCATGGGGCTGTGCTGGGGCTGAGGGAGCCACAGGCTCTGGCTTGCACCGGCAGCGTGACTGACGCTGCACATTCCAGGCACAAACACAGCTTATTGCAACACTGCATCACAGGGCTCTGCTCTCCCAAACTCCTGTAATACTTAAAAAAAAAAAATAAAAAATTCCAACAAACTGTTGACTGTTGTCAGCCTCTTCCCTCTCACCCCAACTGCCATGATTTAATTCCTTAGCATTTGCATGGGTGAAGTATTTTCCCTCATTAGGAAGACTGCTCTGGCTTGGGAAGCCGCCTCTTCTGGGATATTCAGTGTCTGCATTCTGGCAAAGGCTCCATGGATCAGAGACACGGTCATCTCTCCTGCCTGCTTCCCACCATGGCTGCACAATGCACAGCAGAACTTTCTGGTATCTGCTTGACTTCTAAATCCATCAGAACCCAGACTGATGCAAGCAGAGATGATTTGACACAATTTCCATCTCACGTGCCAGAACTTGTACGTTCAGTTTGCCGCAATAGCGGAACTTGATGGACTTGTCAAGCACCACAGGCCCGTAAGAAATGAATGCCTATTCTGAACTGGCATCTACTCCATCAGCAAAGAGCAAAAAAATCTAGCACCATGTCAGCTTTGCCTGTGTTCTGCATACATCCTCTACTCCTTCCCAGCAAGTCCCATGGAACTGGGCACCACGAGCAGCATACTCTGCCACACTCTCCCCTCAGGCTTGGGACCTTTCCAGCATGGCAAGGCAAAGCTGAAGCTCCAGTGGAAAGCACTGGGTGAGCCAGTTCTGGGTTTATATAGTCCTCTAAAATGGTTACTGGGTGAAGAAAAATCTTGCTTTACACTAACAGGAGTTTTAGGGGATGAGACTTCGCTGTGGCAGCAGGCCAGCTGTGGGCTCTCCCCACAGCTCTTGCATCAATGACAGCATGGGTTTGCCCATCCTTTTGTTCACTCAACCCTCTTCTGTCCTCACTGTTTGTTACACCCAGTGCATGTGCCAAGACCTGAGGCCACCTCCTCTGTACCAGGCCAGAGCTCCCAGGGCTGCTCCAGAGATGAGGCACCAACAGCTGTGCTGGTTCTCCAACCAAGAAGCCTGGTCTCCACAAAAGAGTCAAACTGTGACAAGACACACCTGTGAGGCCATAACTTATTAAATTAACTTTTAGATGCTGCATAAATGTACAGCATTTTGAGAGCAGAAGACTCCT